AAGGAAGCGTTCACACGACCTCTGCCTGGGTTGTGCCTTCAATGGTATGTCTTATGAACTGTCATTGTAATGGTCATCCTTATGACCTCTTGAAGTGCGACACGAATAACGATAAACCTTCTGCCCCGATTGATTGGTTGCGTGAAACTACAAAACGTAGGTTTCGTCGTAGAGTATCGGAGATGAAAACACATCTTTCCTGGATATTTTATGCCTGAAGAATACGCTAACCTTCCAATCGCTCATTGTTGGCATGTCACCATGTAATGAGCCAGTCGTCTTCTTCTTAGCAAATGCACGGCGTATTCGTTTCCGTGCTGATGACATTTTTGAAGGGGATTTCCGCTCTTCCTGAAAGAAATACACGTCTTTGCCTTGGGTTGTGGAGAAATATCGATTATTCCAGAAAAGAAAATTTATGAAAAAATAAGACCAAAAAGGTGAGCCGTGTCGCCCACCCGAACCCACTAGATCTTCCGTTTGAATAGTTTTCTCTCCGATCACAGGACATGGAGTCTGAATGCGAACGTTCTTCGTCTCAAGTTCTGTGGCCACCTCAACATCCACCAGCTCAGCTTGAGCCGTTTGCGAGATCTGATCCATCGTCGGTAAGGATTCCGTCTGACAAAGCGCGTCCTGTAAGAAGTCCTTTGTAGCAGCGCTAAACTGATACCTATAGCGGGCACGTACTAGTAAATGGGACATCACTGTCACCACTTCCTCGTCGACCATCTCGATGATTGTGGTTTGAGCTTCAGCGTTGTGTATTTCTGCTTGTTCGGTCTGCACTTCCACTTCTTGGCTTTCGCTCTTCAGTTCTTCAGTCTGACAAGAGTCATGCTCCAATACTTTTTCCATGGTCTGCTCCATTTTGTCGGACCTTCAACAGTTTTTTTGGAGTTATTATAAAAACCTAAACAAAAATACAAAAACAAAAACATAAAAATAATATTGTTCATGAAATTGGACAAATAGGCACTCTTCCACTTATTGATATCTTCCCCACCACTACATTCGACGGCTAGCTAGTTAGTGCTGGGCTCTTTTGTGCTTTAGTCTGTTTTATTGGTCCCCACTGCGCCGTCGGCCCATAGATTGAGTACTCGTTTTACTGCTTCCCATAGCCACTCCGGCCTGAGACTAGGGAAACAGGTTCGAGCTAGCGGTACTTTAAAATATATCTTGGTTTGTTTATCCTCCTTTTTATATGCAGATAATTCTGTCAGAACTAACCCACTCTGTTGTTGTCATAGTGCAAAGATAAATAAATAAATGAATAAATAAATAAATAAACACCTACATTTCCATGGTATCGGTCTGACATTCTACCTCGTGTACTATGACGATTGGAATTTCATTGGCCTCTTCCGTTAAGATCTGAAAACGATAGAAGTATTCTGGAAAAAATGAGAGGGCGTACATTTCATACAACCTCCAGGTCCTCTTCAAAATTCGATGTGAAGCCTCAAAAACCAAACCCACTTTCCTTTCATCCCTCACTTATTCTGCCAAGCAAACTTGACGACTGTATCCCAGGAACCTACCCGCTTTCACCCAATTTTTTTTGCTAAGTTGAGTCAAGTTGTTAAAGCTCTTCATTCCATTGTGTGTGATTGTCTTTCATCTTAGATGATTTAGGATGTAAAATGAGCATGTTGGTATAGTAGACCTGAAAGAAAGGCTCGAGCCCGAAACCTTCGTCCCCATAAAGCTGTTGTTGTTGGAGGTTTCATTTGTGAATTGATGCCAAGAAATTAACACGATGTAGCTCGGGAACTCTTTGATCTTGAATGCCTCGAAAAGCCAATTCAAAATTAGCTCACCTGTTTCTGAACCATCTGCTCAAGCTCTCTCGGTGGTTCCTCATCCTCAGGATTCTCTTGTATTTGGAAGATTTTAGGCATGCCTAAATTTGGGACACTTGAGCGATTAGTTAAGCCGCCATATTCGTGCTAATGACTATAGGGATGGTATGAAATATCATTTAGTGGTCAGAGACCTGAATGCGTAGCACCGTTTCAACGCGTCGCCGTAGTCGGGATTTCCTGACCGAGATCCGTTATTTTACAAGGGTCAAAAGATCCCAACTACAAAATATGAACAGACTGACCAGTTTTCTCGTCAAGGTCGCTAAGTATTGCAGGTAGTTCGATGCCTTTCTCTTGAGCCTCTTGAGCGACTTTGTCCATAGCGACTCGTTTCTTTTCTTTGCTGAAAACCAATTGGAACGGTGTTTAGGGTGATCAAATTGAAATCAAATTCGTCTATAAAGATAAAAATTCAAGTTGGACGTTATTAGATTACCACTGGTCATTGTCGAGACGCTGTTTAGGCGAGAGAGTGCAGAAGAGAGCAACAAGTTGAGGCGGTTCCAAGGACCGAGCTCGAGTAAGCCGTGGACCGGTTTCACCCAGCTGTCGGGGAGTGGGGAGAGGGGGCACAAATTGACGTCATGGACTGAATTCGCGTTAACACGTATTCATGCTCTCTCTTGAGCGATTCGTACCCCTCTCTGCGACGCTCAATATCTCATTTTGCCCTCTATTTTTGGAACCCTCTACAGTCTAGAGAAAAAAGTCCTCCACCCTAGGGATTTTGTTGGTTTTTCTCTCCACTATCGGCCCGTTTGCATCTCTGATTTCAATCCTGCGAACGCCCATACCAGCACGGTTTTGGGGTGTGCCTTAAAGGCAGCGATTACGATAAAGTGGGAGCGCATCGGGGAAGCATATGCACCACACGAATCAGTTACTTGGCTGCCAGGGAAGCGAGGTGTGCGCTTTCACGACGAAAGGTGCTGAGCAGGACTTCGAAAGCACTCCGCCCCCAAAAGCGATCCGCCCACTAGTTTACTTGGTGATTTGGACGAGCTGCGTTGCCAGCAGCGGCACAACTGGAGCAACTCGACTGGAGCATGGATTGGCATGGTGTCACCAAACGCGTTGCGATGAACTCGTTCATACGTCCGCTTTCTGAGCTGTTGCCTGTTCATGAGAGTCAACCCTGCGTTGCGCAGTTCGCAACGGCACGTTGAGAGATCCTCAACGCACGCTGTATGGGCGGAGACACAGACGGCTCGAGCATGCGAGTGTGAATGTTCGCGCGAGAGAACGTGTCTAATCGGGCGAAACTGCGCAACGTGGCCGTTGAGAACTGCGCAACGCAGGGTTGACTCTGTTCATGAGTGATATCAACGGCCAAAAAGGGGGTCCCGTTCGCGTTGTTGACGGATTTCTCTGCTTTTTTCGCCACTGGCGTACCATTTAGCACCACCACGTCTTCCTGAACCCTTCTTGAATCTATCGTAATCGCTGCCTTTAAGTCATAAAATCACGGAGGTATCGACAAGGTGATAGCTTATTTGTACTATACTTTGAGCTATGTGCAAAAAGCGTTGTTCAAGAGATCAAGCTCATTGATTCTCTCTTCTGACCAAATGTACGGGTGGACACTATGTAAAATTACTGAGGCCCCAGGATAACAATAATGAAAGAATTAGAATGGGGTTCACTTGGCCACTGTCCAAAGTGAAAAAACTAGATCTATATTTCCAATGTTTTACCATGTGGACTAACTGCTGTTTTGTCTACAATGTTAGCAAAAATGTCCAGTTATGTGCTCTCAAAAACTGACCTCAACAGTGGCATCAAATATTTTGCTGTTTTATTACCGCTCCACATGCGCATCATCCCAACAGAAGCGCCCATTTGATCTCCACCTAGAAAACCGATGATGAAACCAAGATCATAGCATATAGTAAATAAATTCCCAGTCATAGTATATAGTAAATAAATTCGGAATATTGCTATGTCAAACCAAAACAGCTATTTATAATTATGCCTTGTGAGTCAAACAGAGTAAAAAGAGAAGTCAGACCATAGGACATCAAAGGCAGACCCTACGGTAAGGCCGGCTGGATCAATCTCTTTGTTGGGATGAATTTATCCAGCAAAGTCGCAGATGCTCCGCTCTTCCGGTTTGAAAGCTCGTGACAAGGACTGCATAGCCTTGCCGAGACCGCTTCAATCGCTTCCGTTTGTTCTAATCCGCCAACATGCTTGTGCCCTACGCAACTCTCACTTCATTCTCAATTATACCTCTTCTTCCTGCTCAATGTCTCTCTCCCATAGCATAAAAAAGAGGAAACCCTTAAATTTAGCATTTCGAAAAATTCAGTTCCTTTTTTCTACACTGTCGATCCCTTTAGCACCCGCTATCATTTTCGTACGCAAGAATTACACCCGTTTACCCATTATCCCACCCACATGGGGTATGCCTTCAAATCAGAAACAATTGCACCTAATGCTTATGAAATCATTAATGGTCGTACCTGCTGCCATCTTCTCTTGATATTCAATAGCAATTTTTATCATTAAATTTACATAAAAATCTTCGAGTGCAACCTGAAATCGGTGGACGTAATTATTTCATTGACTGATTTGACTCATTTCTACTATAGCTTATCCATGGATGAAAATATTATATTATATCATATTTTGTGCGATTTTCAATTGGGTTTTTCTTGCATAATCATGTGTACTACCGAGACTGCAAGCATACATGCCCAGTCGTGGGAATATACTTACTCCGAGGCCAGGGTGAAAATCGCTTGAGGAAAAGACAACGGCTCGTCGAGGATTTCTTTCACGCTCTCCCACGCGGATGCTCACTCTCGCCACCGCGCGAGCCGTCTGTGCTCTCCGCGCATGCATTCACTCTCGACACTACTCTCGCACGGTAGAGAGCCATGGTCGAAGGAATTCCTCGACCGCTGTTCACCCTGCTTGGGGCGTGGTGTTGCGAGGGTGGCCATTTCTTCAGCTGTGCTACGTGGATTGAATCCTGGGTCAAATCTCAGTCAAACCAATAACCATCCCTAATGTGAGGTAAGCAAATAGGCACTACAGGACAGGCACTGATTTCTGCCTGGACAGGTACAATCAGGGTCAACCGTACTGTTTCTAAACGAGCGAGCCGTACTTGTGTTAATTCTGGGGGCGGAAGTGGTGGGGAGTTGTAGGGATTGGTGATGTTCAAATGATTGGAAAAAGGGATCGTATCTTTGGAAGTTGAAAGGGGTCATGGCTGCATGATGGCTGTGATAATTGGTCTCAGAATCAAAAATGTACCATAGAAATAGCCATGATGGCCACTGATGGTGGTCGGAATAGCGAGAAGGAGAGTCTCGGGTGGGGGACCCTAAGGCTGATGGTCGTGGTGGGGGTCATCGAACTCGTTCTAAAAGGAAGGAGTCGTAAAATTTCTCGCAATTGGAACAACGGACGGTTACCTCTGGATACAATTCAAAGGCAAACCCCGCGATTTTCCACATTCTTATCCACCGTGTCGAGAGAAGGAATCATCCAATGATAGGATGCGGGGATGCATCGTTCTCCGCCCAGGCGTTTTTTCGTTAGGCTTTCAAAACTTCTACAGGGTTGGGCAAAATTAGTGGTGCACCAATATTTTGTTGGCATTTCGAGACTAGCTTTCAGAAATCGATTCTAATCACGAATATTATTTGTAGAAAAGATGACAATTCAAAACATATTAACAGTTTTCAAAATGATCGCCTCTAGCCTTTACACAGTTCTTCGAACATATGCATGGCATGTGGCACGCAGGTATTTTTCATCAATTTTGTCCCAGGATTCCAAAAGCGCCGTATGAGAGGGTTCAAATTTCGGTAATTGATAGAGCAGACTTTTCCCTTTAGGATAGCCCATACTTGAAAATATATCGGTCTTTCCCGAGAATTGGAGAGCCATTCGTCATAACTGATGAAGTTGAGGGTTTGCTCGGTGCACTGTTCCTGGACCATTCTCGGTCAGTGTCCTGAAGCAACCCCTTTGGTGAATTCACCCGTAATCCTCTCCAAAGTAAAGACACGCCCATGGTTTTGAACAAATACCGAGTTTGAACGCTGTTTGAACAAAATTTGAGAATTTGAAAAATCGTCGAGAACGGTTTCGCATAGCGCTCTGCTGGAGGTTGATTGGTGCACTTTCACAAAGTGGAAGGCCTAACCAAT